GGATAGGATAATAATAAAACATTTTTAAACGGCAAAAGTTACCGATTTCACGTCTCAAAAAAATCATAAAACATTTTCTCATCGCGCCAAGTGTTAATCCAGCTTCGCTTTATGGTAAATAAAAGGCAGAAACATTTAATCTCTTAATCTCCTCATAACTTAATTACTCGTTAATGTATTTCGTGCTTCTTCGTTGGATGTACAAATTGGCAAAGCTCTTCGTTTGTAATCAGCCTTGAGAATTATTTTACTATATTTCATAGAAATGTTATTAATCCGTTCTTAAAAATCATTCGAATTTCAAATGCATTATTCCAATGTGCATTTGTAATTTGAACAATGCAAATGCGACACGGCTACACTCCATTGTCTAAAAATTCGTTACTGCTCTCAATTCATCATTGATTGTTTTGTGTTTCGCAGCAGATGTGCATAAAATACATTTATTTCATCCATCCATCATTAGTTAAACATAATTACATATTTTTGTGAATTTTCCGAGAAGAAGCCTTATGTCACACGATTATAAATATATTATTGACAATTTAATATTTATTAAACAGAAGTTAGTAAAAGTAGACTAAACTCTGGCAAGACCGCGCATAAAATTCAGGAGATTACGATCCAGAACACTAGGCTTAAAACAGAACAGCGTTAGAGAACATCAGGGATGTTAGAAACTTTTTTCATGCCAAATTTCGTGTTTTTCTCAATGAACATAAAAAACTCGCCGGATGACTTTTTTTACTTTCCGCCTCATCTTATGGGGGCCCTCGAGGTGATAAGGGAGGGGTTGTAATCAAGTGATTTTTACGAGTAGCTGTTACGTGGTCGCCAATATTTGCGGATCAGGGTGGAGTTCAGGTTGCAACACACCGACCTTTAAGTGAGGGAAAGGTGCGCTGAGATCATGCCAAGGAAACTGGCTATTGTTTATCCCCCTCGATACGTACGATGACTAATTTCCGAAAGTATACGTTGAAACGTTATTCTCATTTAACTTCTGAAAGTCCTCTAAAAAGCTACAACTTATTTTTCAGAAGAAAATAAATGTCAATAAATTAGGATTTCCTAATTTTCCAATAATATATATTTTCCTAGTTTCACTATGTGCAGTATCGTTGATATATTAATTTTTCTAATTGACTTTGTACGAAGTTTGCTTTAAACGGGAACGGTGCTGTTCTTCGTAAACGATTCCGTTGCAAGCGTATAGCTCGGCCGAAATCTTACACGGTGCGAATTTATGTACATCAACCAACGGGCCAAAAGCGTTCTGCATTACGTTTTACGATCCTGTCAGTCGTAAAATGCAGTTTAGGCGTCCGGTCTATACCGTTTTCGGTGTAGTACACGAGTTACGCGAGCATCTAGTAGATCGAGACGAGCTATGATCAGACCGGCGATAGCCTGTGAGGCACGAAGCAACTGGCGGAAGTCTTTATTACTTACGTTCACATGTACTCTCGGATCGATAAATTTTCAAGAATTCACAAGAATAACCAGTATGCTATTATCAGTTATAATTTAAATAATGAATTACAATTAGGATCAGAAGTTTTTATAAATAAAAAATATAAAACGATTAACAAAAATTGAGAAAAGAATAATAATTGTAATCCAGTAGAGAATAATCGAATTTAAGCAATGAACAATACGCGAAAGTGTTCTTGAAGATTTTCAGTAGATACGGTCGACGCTTGGTCAGACGTCGAGGGTAATCTGCGCGACAGATCCAAAGTTTGCATAATGGGATGATTCGATTTTAATGCGAACGTCGAAAAAGTGGCGAAAGAGCATAAAAACGTACGGATAGACCGCGGCGGCAAGAAGAATGAGAAAGAATGCACGTTCAAAATCCCGAGTTACGTATTCCAAGGACATAGCCTCTAAAGTGTCCCACGCTCGGGGAACCGCAACCATCCGACGACGATTCATACGTCTTCCCCGAGAATGGAAAAGGTAAAGAGGGGACTGGAGACTCTCCAAACGCATTCTGAATTCACTGAATAGAGTTCGCCCCCTCTTATCACACGCGATCGCGAAAAGGGATACTTTCGGACCTACCAAGATTTTTTACAAGTTACCACCCTGCGGCATGAATTGACATTTGTCCAGAAGTAAACGTATTAGTCAATTTATTACTCGTTACGTGAAATGCCGAATACAGTTCGATCAATACTTGATCTCGCGTAATAATGATCAATACAGTACTAATCTTATGATTGAAGTTATGATTTATAGGAATTCATTATCGAATATTTATAGAGAAATCAGAAAAGGGTTAAACGAACATTGCAATTTGCAGTTCATCGTTCCTCTCCAGTGAAGATTTACGAGGCAATATACAGGGTGCCTGCAGATCACACGAAATGGATTCGCCGGGGTGTGCTTTGTCTTTCGTTTCACTTTCTCCGTAGGAGAGGCACAATTCATGATAGCCCTACGTATACCCTGCCAATGGATTTACGATACGCGCAGTCGACGGCCTCTCAGAAAATCGTCTCGCCGAAATTATTGAAATGTCTCGTCGCGTTTCGTCTAGGTTCAACGATCCGCGCAATCCGTGAAACAAACAAATTCCTAAATACACACACCGAGGAGTTTGAACAAAGATAACGCGTTGCGTAACGCCCGGGACAGTTAAAAGGGGAACCGGCCATTCCACCAACGAGAAACGGATATCCTCCAGCGTCGGGGCATTCAGTACCCGGGTAGAGAGAGAGAGAGAGAGAGAAAACGAGGGTCCTTTTCATCCGGTATATTACCAGAAAATGGTCCACTTAGTAGGAGCGAAGAAAAAATAAGAAGAGACGAAAAGCAGAGAAAGGGAAATGGAACGGAATATCCCGCGGTGTTGGCTCCCGATACAGGGAAGAGGATCGCATTAGGTGGAACCAAGGGCCAAGAGAATAAGTAGAAGAGTAAAAGAGAGGAGAAGAAAGAACCGGAGGAAGTAGAGGGAAGGCGACCGGGGAGGATGTGACCGTCTCCATAACTGTACGGTCCACTCGACTAACGTAAGTATATTGTCAATCAATCCACGGTATAAAAGCAATCTGAGGTTCGGTCGCCGGGGTGGCAGGATCCCGTGGGGCGTGGACGGGCCGGCCGAGCTAAGGACAGAGAAGAAGAACATAACAGAGAAAGAAGAAGTGAACAGAGTGGCCGCGGGAAGGAGAAGAGATCCGGGAAGGAAGAGGGTAAAGAGTGCAAACAATTCCCGTCTTGCTTCACTCGGGAATGTACGAGCGAGAGGAAAAAGTTGATAGAGAAAAGGAGAAGTCCTTTACTCCGGCCACTCGAAGGACCCTGTCCAACAAGTAGGATGAAACGAAACTCCTGCCTGGCCGGTGCGTGCTACGCACACGCTACGAAAGATATTGACACACCGACATTTATTCTAATATTTGAATACGATTTCATAAGATCCAACTACATTGAAAATCTCACGATCAAATTCGTTTCACCAGCTAAATCATTAATGTATCTCTAGGCTAAAGATTCGATTTTTATTTATAGAACCCAATTAATTCTTGTAGTTGAAAGACACTGATATAAGTAATTCTCCTATCCGCCCAGGATATAGACCACTTCAACCATGTACCAGTAAATAAGGTTACACACGTCCCTGGTGATGCCCGACGGGAAGTTGTCCCCGCGACGACGTCCAACGAGGGTTGGCCTGGACTAGCGGAAAATGAAATAATATCGGTGCAAACACACGGGACCGAACGCCAAAAAGGCCGTGGATAAATACGTAAGAGAGTTTATGGGTGAGAACGGGTGGGAAACGTGGAACCCAGATAGAGACCGAGGGAGAAAAGGAGAAATTGGAAAGCGGGGAATGGAAGGAAAAGGAAGAGATACGTCGTGGGATCGTATCACGTGGCAAAGCTCTCTCTAGATACCACAGATTTTTCGACGTTGAGACGGATAGCAAATCTGGATAATGTATTTACAGAATCTTACACTGTAACCCGCAGCCGCGACATCTCGAAAATTGCTCCTTCTATGCAACACCTGTTATTCCGATTTCAAACACTATGC